CTCAAAGCGGAACTCGTACGAGGGCAGCGCCTCCTCCACATCGCTGAAGCTCTCCTCCAGGTCCATCTCGCTGCCCTGCCCCTCCCCCTCCTCCTCCTCGCCGCCGCTGCCCTCCTCGCCGGCGCTCGACTGCTGCTCCCGCTCCTTGCTGCCGGCAGCGGCGCCCTGCTGGAGTTGGGGGGCGGGAGGGATGGATGGGGCCGTCAGTGGGGCTTGGCGCGTCGTGCTGTGTGGTGGCGGCGGCGGAGGGTTGTGGCCCTGTTCTGGCTGGCAGGCGGGAGAGGACGCGGGGCGTCGCGGGAGATGCGCGGCGGGCCAAGCCGTGTACGGGCCTATCTGGCTCCGAATCCGCTCTGTAAGGCAAGTCAAGTTAGGCCAAGCCAAGCCGCGGCATCTGGCGCACCTCTGCAGCCTTCTCTGCAGGCTTGCCGTTGCCCGCCGCCGCCTCGCCCTCCTCCTCCTCCTCCTCGGAATCGTCGGGAGGGGAGGGCTTGAACCACAGCGCCAGCGACTGGCGCAGCAGAGACAGAGCCTCCTCCTCCTTGCCCTGCTGCTGCCGCAGGCTGGCCAGCGCCTGCAGCGGCTCGGGGCTGGTGGGCGCCAGCCCGCGCGCCTCGCCCAGGAGCTCCTGGCACTCGCCCTCCACAGCCGCCAGGCCTGCGGCGGGCAGCGGCGCCGACGGCCACGGCGGTCAGCTGAGCTCGGCGTCGGCCGCGGTGACGCACACGCGGCGGCGCAGGCGCAGCGCCCGCAAGCCGGCACTACCCTGGGAGGCGTGCCCCCCACCAGCCAACCAAGCCGCTCCAGCGCTCAAGCAGCCCGCCGTCCCCACCCCCCGACCGCAGGCAGGCACGCCCCGCCCACCTGCCGCCCCCTTTTCCTGTGCCTGGTTCATCAACACCTCCACCAGGGAGCAGAGCGCAGAGGAAAGCATGCCCTGCATGTGCTCCTCTAGCGCCGCCGCCTCCTCCTCCTGCTCCGCAGGCGCAGGCTCTGCGCCCTGCGCAGGCGCGCGCAGGCGGGTGCGGGCGCGGCAGGGTCGGCGGCGCGGCGGCAGGGGCAGCGCGGCGAGCACAGAGGCACGGCGGCACGGCACGTGCAGCAGAACGTCGCTGCGCGGTGTGTGCGTGTGTGTGTGTGTGCAGCGATGGTGCAGCTGGCGGGGATGGGGTAGGGAGAAAGCATGTGTGTGTGCGCGTGTGCGTGTGTGCGCGTGTGAGATGTCGCAGGGGGGCACAGCAAGGCGTCACCCATGGCGTCGGCGCCGCTGTTACAACCCCTGCTGTTGCTCTCCGGAGCCCATCTGCTGCCAGCCCCAGGTGCCACCCCCGCCCGCTTTGGGGTCGGGGGCGCGTCGGCGGCAGAAAAAAGACTCCGGTGGTGGCGGCGCGGGGCAGGCGCAGGGCGCGGCGGGGCGCGCGGTCGGCGTGCAGGGCCGGCGGCGCGGCCTGCGGCAGGCCGCGACGCCACCAAGCGCGCAGCCGGCGGCCCGGCTGCAAGGCCGGGCACGTGCAGCAGCACAGACGCGGCAGCGCGCGGCGGCAGCGGCAGCGGCGGGCCAGCAGCGGCAGGCGCCGGGCCAGCGGTGGCAGCAGCGGCGGCGGCGGCGGCGGCGGCGCTGGGTGGCCGCACGTGCTGCTGGATGTGTCCCCTCAGGATAGAGATGCCCTTGCGCACGCACTGCTCCGCCTCGGGCCCCTCCTGCAGCTGGCCCAGGTACCTGCAGGCGGCAGGTCGGGGTCGGCGGCGAGTGAGTGAGTGAGCGAGCGCTCGAGTGAGCGAGCGAGCGAGTGTGTGTGTGAAGGAGCGGCAAGGCGAGGGAGGGAGCAGGGAGGCGGCAGCAGCAGCGGCGGCGGCGAGCGGGTGCGGGCGCATGGGAGCGAGGCATCAGTTTGTCAGAGGTGTAGGTGTGTCCACAGGGGTGCCGCTGAGGGCCCCGTCTGTCGGAGTGTAGAATAAGTGTTGTACAATCATCCTCTGCGCTCGCTCTCAGGGCCCCGCGCGGCCAGCCAGAGGTGCAGCCGGGCGGCCGGCCGGCAGGCAGCGGCAGCGGCAGCGTCGCAAAGAAGCAGCAGCCCCTCTCCCTCCACCCTCGCCCCCTGCCCGCCACCATCCTCCCCGCTCACATGTACTTCTCGAAGCCCTCGTCTGGCAGCAGCTGCGCCGCCTTCTGCAGCACCGCCAGCGCCTCGGAGCGGGGCCCCACCTCGGCCAGGAAGGAGCCGTAGCCCTCCAGGTACTCCACATTCTGGAGGGGAGGGGGAGGAAAGCGGGGAGGGGCAGCAGGGAAGCGTAAGGAGCAGGAAAGTGTTTGGGAGTTCAGAGAAAGGAATGGGGGAGCTGGCATGCAGACCGAGGGAGGCGGCCGCAGCAGCAGAGGTGCAGGAGCATGAGTGTGCGTGTGTGTGCATGTGGTGCGGGCATGCCGGGTAGGGGGATGGTCAGCCAGTGTATAAGTTGTAATCAGGCTGTGGGCTCGAGGCCCGCATCAGCGATTGTTCACCGTGGTTAGCATCACGCCATCCCCCCCCTAAAACACATGCATGGACACTCGAGTGCAGTACACTGCGCCCAGGCTTATGTGGCAAAGCGCAGCCAGCCAGCAGCTGCTGATTGCAGGCGCAGGGAGATGCAGGCAGCACGTGCAGCAGCCGTGCAGGCGGCAGGCGGCCGCAGCAGCGCAGGTCTGCCGCCGCACCGTCAGCACCCACCTCAGGCTCCAACTCCAGCGCGCGCTTGAAGCTGGTGCGTGCCAGGTCCAAGTTCTCCATTGCGAAGGCCATCTCCGCATTCTCGTAGTGCTCCTCGGCCGTCAGCTGTGGGGCGAGGGTGAGCATCCATTGCGCGATCAGCGGCGGCGGCGCGGCATGGGGCGGCCGCATGCATGTGTGCCCATGCGGCGTGCACACCTGCTGCGGCGCCCGGGCGGGCTTCTTCTTGCCCCCCGACTTCTTCTTGGGCACCCCCATGCTGCTGGAGTGCGCGGGCAGCCGCCGATGTGCACGATGGACGCTCGGACAGAGGAGGAGAGCTGGGCAGCAATGGCAGAGTGGACGGGCGGGTGTCAGGCAGCCGTCGAAGGTGGCCAAACAATGCATGCCGGGCGCAGGGCCCCGGAAGAAGGCAGCCCCTGCTGGCTCCTTGGATGGGCAGCAGGGGCCCAGGATTGCCCTGGCTCGCTGCTGCCAGTGTGCTGGATTTTCTGGGACTGTAGCCCGGCGCTGAAACCATCGCTTGTCCTTCGGACAGACCTTCGCCCTGGGTAGGCTCATTGCACCACGCGTGGAGGCCCCACAACGGTCCCCGGGATCCAGGATCATCCATGAACGAGCGCTGCGCGCGGAGCCTGGCCGGTGGCTGTAGCACCAGCGGCAGGGGGGTGGTGCAGCACCACACTGCCCCTCGAGGCCGGGCCCTTACTGGCGCCCAGGCACGCAGCAGGGCCAGCGGGCGCAGATTGGGCGTCGTTGTGCGCGCAGCGGCCGTCACCGTCGACAGGTGCGGCGGGCCGGTGCCGCCGCCGCTGCTGCCGCCAGGCCCCGATCGGCGTGTGTTGTGCCTGCCTGTGCTGCTGCCTGCTGCGGCATGCCTGTTGTGTGCCCATCGTGGCCAGCATGCCAGCCCATTGCACGCCCTTTGCTGCTGGCATGTGCCGAGTGAGCACCAAGAGCGCAGCAACGCAGCCTGATCCCTCGCCGCTTTGCTGCCACACGGTCGTCTGCTTGCAGGCCCTTCTGGCAGAACATCCCCTTCTTCAGCACCCAGCGGGACGCCTACGAGCAGCTGCAGATGGAGGTGGGTGCTCCCGGCCTGGTCCTGGGCAGAGGCCGCCGGTACAATTGGAAAGCTCTGTGGACCAGCTGGTGCAGACACTCTCCCCTGGGGCCCTCCTTCCCACCCCCCGCTGCTCCCCCGCCTTCCAACCACGCCTCCTCGGCCCCTGCTCCCTCCCTCGACCCCTCCCCCGACCGGTACAGATGGGCTACTGCAACATCCGGCAGCAGTACTCTCCCGAGCTGGTGCGGCAGCGCGCCATCGGCTCGCCCGCCGCCTTCCTGGCGCTCTGTGGCCGCGGCGTGCAGATCGGCACCGAGGTGGGCCTGTTCTTCGCCGGGCTGTGGGCCGACGGCGTGTCGGGGCAGGCCGACGACAGCGTGCAGGTCAAGAAGCGCGCCACCCAGCTGCGCGACCTGCTCACTCGCCTGGGGCCCACCTTCATCAAGGCCGGCCAGGTGGGCGCGGGCGTGTGGGGCTGCAACGGAGTGGGCGCGCGTGCCTGTGCGTGTGCGGGTCGGGCGCGGCAGGGCCCGCAGGCCAGGTGCCGCGCGAGGCACCAGCAGCCCCACAGAACGCTGTCTGTCTGGCACGGGTGGTGCTCCTACCAGCCATGTGTGCATCCGATCCACTCCCGCCACAGGTGCTGGCCAACCGCCCCGACATCATGCGGGAGGACTACATGAATGAGCTGTGTGTGCTGCAAGACGACGTGCCGCCGTTCCCGGACGAGCAGGTGGGCTGCGGGCGGGTGGCTGCGTGTCTCGCCTGACCTTGCGGTCTGGAGGCGGCAGGCGCCAGCACGCGCGCTGCACGGCGCCGTGGATGTGCCGCCCCGGCTGCGAGCGAGCAGGCGGGGGCTGGCGGGGGCTGATGGCGGCGGTGTGTGGCGGTGTGGTTGGGCAGGGCAGGGATGGGCGAGGAAAGGATCGGCGTGCTCGCCATTGCTTGACGATCGGTGGGCTAGCGGGGGTGCAGCGGAGAACACGGGCCCTTGCCTCCCTGCTCCTCCCTGACGCACTGGCCCGGCCCCACTGCCCGAAGGCCTTTTCGCTCATCGAGGCCAGCCTGGGGCGGCCGCTGGGCGAGGTGTTCTCTTCCATCAGCGAGCGGCCCATCGCCGCCGCCAGCCTGGGCCAGGTAAGGGGGCCCGCCTGTGTTCTTGTGTGAATGCGTGTCTCTCGTGTGGGGGGGTGCAGCCGCTGCTCCGCACCGCGCCCGGCACCTCCCCAGCCACCAGAGCCCTGCATCACCCTGCTGCTCCCCTGCCTTGCCGCGGCCCTCTCCCCAGCCCGAACCCTGCATCACCCTGCAGCCCTGCCTCGCCGCTGCCCTCCTCTCCCGCCCCTCAACAGGTCTACAAGGCGGTGCTGCGGGACACGGGGGAGGAGGTGGCGGTGAAGGTGCAGCGGCCGGGCGTGGAGCCACTCATCTTCCGAGACATCTTCATCTTCCGCACCCTGGGCACCTTCATCAACGGATGGTGGGCGCCGCCTGCATTGCCGACTGCCAGTTGCCAGTTGCCGGTCGCCAATTGTGACCAATTGCCCAACAACACCCTGTGCCGGCCGCTGCCTCTTGCTCGTGACGTGCTCGAAGCCAGCCGTTGGCCATTCCTGAGCCTGAGTTCCGGCAGTGACCTGCCGGGGTCACTGCGCCGGCTGGGGTGCACCGCGCAGCCGAATGTGCAAATTCGACATTCTTGTTTAATCGCCGTCCCTGCAGGTCCCTGCGCCGCCTGGGGTGCAACGCGGAGCTGATTGTGGATGAGTTTGGGGAGAAGCTGCTGGAGGAGCTGGACTATGTGCAGGAGGCGCGCAATATCCTGGTGAGGGAGGGGGCCTGTGTGGTGAGGGGAGGCCTGCGTGGTGAGGGGGGGAGGGGTTCCTGTGTGGTGAGAGGGCCGTGTGTGGGCTCCCTAGGGTGAGTGGGCTCCTTGGGGCGCGTGTGGGCCGCCCGCAAGGCTGCCTGCCTGCCTGCCTGCACGCGTTCCGCCTCCTGCGCCTCCGCGTGAACGGGTCGGCGCCCGCCACGCACGCCCAACCACCACCACCACCGCCACCACCAAGCACCACACACACACACAGACCGCCGCCACGGCCGCCGCCAGTCACCACAAGCCGCCATCCACTGTCGCTCTGCCGCTGCCACACCCCCTGCAGGACTTTTACGCCAACTTTGATGGCGACCCGCTGGTCAAGATTCCGTGGGTGCGGCGCGACCTCAGCGGCCCACAGGTGCGTGCCGGCGGCCGCGGGGCCCCGGGCCGAGGGGCAGGCGGGGGCTGGCAGGTGTACGCAGGGAGTGGGCGCTGCTGGCAGGCGCGGGCAGAGGTCGGCTGCTCCATGCATCCTCCAGCCGCCTCTCTATGCTATGTATATGCTATGCTATGCGCGGGCCCACCCCTGCAGGTGCTGGTGATGGAGTGGATCGACGGCATCCGGTGCACCGACGTGGAGGCCATCAAGGCCTCGGGCCTCGACCTGCCAGCCTTCATCCGCACAGGTGGGTGGGCGGGCGCGGTGTGGTGTGGTGTGGTGTGGCGGTGTGGTGTGGTGGCTGTGCTGTGCTGCGCTGCGCCGTTGGGGTGGCCACCCGGTGGGTGGGTAGTAGCCAGCTCTGCCTCCCTGGAGTGCCAGGCGCGTCTGGGATTCCCGGGCCAAGCCGGCCGGCCACACGCGCACCCCACACAAACATGTACTCGCATGTGCGTCTGCTGCCACCCGCCGCAGGCGTGGTGTCGGGCCTGCGCCAGCTGCTGGAGTTTGGCCTCTTCCACGGCGACCCTCACCCAGGTGAGGCTTAGGGATTAGGGTTTAGGGCCCGCACCCAGATCAGGGTGGCACCCCGCCGCCCTGCGGGCTTGTGCAGCCTTGCTGGCAACGGCAGGTGCCTGCGCTTCTGCAGGCTTGCGGGCAGTGGCAGGTGCCTGGGCTGCCCGCCTGCCCCGCCCCGCCACGCGCTGCCCAGCGCTCGGCACGCGCTGAGCCCCCTGCCCTCGCCCCGCAGGCAACATCTTCGCCTTGCCCGACGGCCGCATCGCGTACGTCGACTTTGGCAACGTGGCGGAGCTGAGCCAGAGCAACAAGGAGATCCTGATAGATGCGGTGGTGCATGCCGTGAACAAGGACTACCCGGGGATGGCGGGGGACTTCATCAAGCTGGGCTTCCTTGCCAAGGGTGAGCGTTTGTGTGTGGGTGTGCGAGAGAGAGAGAGGGTGAGGGAGATGGAGAGAGAGTGAGAGAGAGTAGTGCCGTAAACAGGGAGGCGACAGGGATGGCAGGCCTCCTTTGCCACAGCCCGGCCACGGCAGCGGGCCTGCGCGCTCCGGCGCCCTCCCCGCGTGCCCAGCGCGCCGCCGCTGCCGCTCAGCTGCGGCGCCCCGCCTGCCCCCCCCCCCTGCAGGCACCGACGTGGCGCCGCTGGTGCCGGCGCTGGAGAAGATCTGGGCGGACTCGCTGGGCCAGTCTCTGGCCGACTTTAACTTCCGGTGAGGCCCCCTGGGGCCCGTCAGGCTCCTTGCTGTTGCGTGCAGGGTTGCTGCTGTGGATATGCTGCCGGGTGGCAGCTGAGCGGGGCAGGCGTTGCGGTTCCCTGGCCTGGAGGGAGCCTGCACCTCTCCCCAGCCGCTACCACCTGCCGTGTGCCCCCCTGTCCCATGCACCTGGCCCGCCCGCCCACCCCTGCCGCTGGTCCCGCCTTGGTCCCGCCCCGCAGCACCGTCACCTCCAAGTTCAACGAGCTGGTATACCAGTATCCCATCCGCATCCCCGAGCGCTACTCCCTGGTCATCAGGTACCGTGGCAGCACGGTACCGCTGCCTCCTGCCTCCGCTCCCAGCCAGCAGCGATTGCCGGCGCCGCAGCCCAGCCCCCCGTGCCACCTCCCTCTCCTGCTGAGTCTCCCCCGTGCACCCTGTGCATCCCTGTGCCCACCTGCTGAGCACGCACCTCGGCAGACAGCAGCACCCTACCCTTCTCCCGCTGCCCCGCCCGCAGGTCGCTGCTGACGCAGGAGGGCATCTGCCTAACCCTGAACCCGGAGTTCCACTTCCTCGAGGTGGCCTACCCTTACGTGGCCCGCAGGTGGGCTGTCTCTGTTTATTTGTTTGTTTCTGTTTATTGATGTCGTGTTTTTGTTCATCGTTTATTTTGTTTGTGTATGAAATGATGCCTTGCTCGTCTCCCAGCCGCCATTCTCCCAGCCGCCATTCTTTTTTTTTTCCCCGCGCGGCTAGCGGAGCTGCACTGGCGGCGGGTGGCGGCGGGGGCCTGGCCGGGGCTGCTCGCAGCCGCCCCACCACCCCACCCACCCTGCCCCGCCCCGCCGCGTGCTCCCCGCAGGCTGCTGACGGATGAGGATCCGGCGCTGCGCACCCGCCTCTTCCAGGCACGCCACCTGCACCCTATCCTGCCTGCCGCCTGCATGACGCGCGTGTGCTTGCACGTTGCGCCGGCAGCCGCGCCGGATGCCTTGTGCCGCTGCACCCGGCAGCAGCCCGGGGCCCCGCGGGCGCTCTGCACGCACCTGCGCCAGCGCTGTTTGCACTCGGCCTGGCCGACGGCCGCTCCCTTGCTCTTTCCTCGTTCCTTCCTCGTTCTTTCCTCATTCTTTCCTCCCGTGTGTGTTCTTTCCACCCCATGCAGGTCCTCTTCCAGGACGGACGCTTCCAGTGGGACCGCCTGGAGAACCTGCTGCGCCTGGCGAGGGAGGGCACGGGCGGCCCCGGCGGCGCGCCCAACCCCGCAGGCCTCGACCTGTCGGCCACCGTCAGCGACGGCGCGCGGGTGAGGCTGGCGGGTGGAGGCTGAGGCTCGCGCCGCCGCCTCCGGCGCTGTCGCCACTGCCGCTGCCGCTGCCGCCGCATGCCGCGCCAGCGCGGGGGCCGGTTGCTTCACGTGTACCCGGCAGGGCAGGGCTGCTGGGAGCGGACCGGACATGGGAGCCCCGCCCGGGGCCAGCCGGGCATGCGGCCTCGCTCTCGGTCAGCTCCATCCCTGTCGGGCGGTCCCACCATGCCAGTGTACCCACACCTGTACCCCACCCCACCCCACCCCCGCCCGGCCCCCAGGTGGTACTGCTGGATGACCAGCTGCGGCGCCAGCTGCTGCGGGCATTCACAGAGGACGACCGCCTGCATGTGGAGGAGCTGGGCCGGCTGCTGCGCCTGGTGCAGGTGTGCACGCAGCCTACGGCAGGCATGGGCGCTCCCTGGCAGGCACACTGCAGCCACGCGCGTTGGTGGGAGAGTGCTGTTAGGGAGATACGTGGTGGGGGGCCCGGCTGGAGGCTGTGCACGGCGGTGGCGGTGGCGACTGCTGCTTGGGGCCAAGGGAGTTCGGATGCAGCAGCGGGGGGTGCTAAAATGCCCGGAAATGCTGTACCCCGATGATCCCTGGCATTCACCCTGGGATGTTGAATGCCTCCATGTGGTGGAGTCAGATCCCATTCTCTGCCTGCCCCCCTGCCCTGGGCTGCCCCCGATTGCTTCCCCTGCGGTCTCACCTGCCCTTGCCCGCCCGCCTGCCTGCAGGGCGATGTGGACCTGCCTCGGGTGGTACAGTCTGGCGTGCAGCAGCTGCCCACGCTGGCACGCCAGCTGGCCCTCGGCTGGTCTGACCGCGTGCTGGCGTCCTAGCCGCCCCTCCTTCCCGCTCCTGGCGAGCTGCTGGCGGCCGCGTGCAGCGGTGGGTTGCAGCGCCGCCGCTGTGTACATCCATGGTGCAGCGTGCTGCCAGCCTGGAGCCAACGAGCGACCCATTCCCACGGATGCTGCCGCCGTGGGGTTTGGACCCACATGCACGGCCCCCCATTTGATTCCTTTATGTGTCTCATCGTTGACCTGCAGTCGCTTTTCCACTGCACCCACCCCCGCCCTCCTGTTTCTCACGATTGGTTGCCGATGCCCGCCGCGGCGCGCCACCCTTGCCATTTCATTGCAACTTGCGACGTTCTTGTGACGTATTCCTGAAGCTGTCCTGGCTGCCGCAGCATCCGTCTGCCTGGCGCAGGCCCTCGACCCTTTTTTCCTTTACCTTCCTTTAGTTTATTTAATTCCAGCTGCTGCTCCGGTGCTGAGCCCAGCAGCGGCTGTAATGCACTGTGCTCCGTTACACAGGAATGGAGCAGAAAGCAGCTTGGTTTGGTGCAGTCAATCAAAAGTGTTGCAGAGCTCAGTATGTGCAGCATCCTGCAGCTCGATCTGCAATACGGGCTGCTGCCGCTGCACCTCGAGCGCCGCAGCAACCACGTCGCAAGGCAGCTCGCCAGCCTCGAGCTTCTCCAGCACCAGCTTGCGCAGCATGGGCCGGCCCGCTGCCCAGCGGATGACGCCAATCAGTTGTGTTGTCGTGTCGGTGGCATCATCCAAGAAACTCCAGGCTGCCAGGTATTCCAGGGTCGAGGCCGCCGCCAGCGCCTCCATGCTATTGGCCAGGAGCGGGATTGGGGCGGCCAGGCGGCGCAGGCTGGACAGCCAGCAGCCGGTGGGCAGTGCTGCGTCCTCCACAAGACGAATCGGCAGGCAGAGGGTGTGGAGCGTGCGGAGGCCCGTCAGCGCCGCGAAAGGGAAGCTGGGATCAGGGCTCAGCTCCAGGTGCTGCAAGTGCGCCAGGCGTGGCCATGCCCCACACCTGCTTCGGTAGCGCATCGCGAAGGTCATCATCTGAGCCGAGCACGAGGCGGGTGATGAATGGCGGCAGACGGGCATGCTCCTCCACATGCGTCTCTGGCCCATCCAGATGCAGCACCTCCAGGTCCGTTAGCGAGTGCAGCGGCGAGCAGGCAACCACCACGGTGTCGCTGACGATGTGCAGGCGGCGCAGCCCCTGGAAGGATGCGGGCACCCAGGCGCCCAGGTGGCAGGGGATGATGGGCAGTTCCAGATGCAGGTCTTGCAGCCCTCCGGCTGCGCCGCAGGCTGCCAGCGTGCCGGCCAAGAGCGCCGCAAGCTCCTGGTGCTCCTGGAGATCACTGGCAGCGGGCGGCTGCAGGCACAGCCGCAGCTGCCGCATGCGCCCAGCCGCGTGGCGCACCAGCCAGTCGCACAGCGCACGCATGCCCGTAAGCCACTGCTCTCTGGATGGGTGCTGCAGGCACACAGAGACGCTGGCCAGCAGCGCCGGGGTGTGCAGGAGCTGATGCCAGCGGCGGCACACAAGCGGCACACAAGCGGGAGCGAGCGGTGCCTGCAGGGAAGGGAGGTTGGGGGGTGGCTGCCTGACTGTTTTCCTTCCATCCTCCCCATTTTGTTGTGTTGCGCCTGCTAGCGCTGCTGTGGTTTCCAGCTGCAAGCAGAGGCAACTCGGTTTGAAGCGCACCTCTCCTCCAGCGTCAGCTGGCTGAACACCATCGCCAGCAGGTCGCCATGTTCCTCGAAGGCGACACACGAGTCGGGGGTTGAATCCATCTACGGAGGAGTGAGCACTCCAGCTGAACTGATCGCAGGTGCGGCACCAGGCTTCACTTCCAGATGCAGGATATCGCCAAGGAGTCGCCTAACTGATGGGCAGGGCTCGCAGGTGCACCTGTTGAGATATTTAGCTACAGTGTTTCTGGCCCTCGTGGCAGCGTTGGCGATGGGCTGGCGATGAGGACCGCTGTCGCATCCAAATTTCGCCAATCAACTGGCGATGGCACAGTGGGGGTTGGCGAATTGCGGGGGAACCACCCTTGCGCCTGGCGCGGCGCAGCGGACGCATGCGGTGCCGCCGTTGCTTTGTCGGCACTTGCCTCCCTTTATGGGGGGCTGGGGGCGAAGCCCCCAGAAAGCTGGCGCTTTTTTAACACTATGGAATGAAGTTCCTGAGGAAATTTGGCCATTTTCCCTCAATATATTGGCGATGCCAGTCATGGGGGATGGCGACGGGCTGGCGACCATGTCCTGCCGCCTGCCCTCATTTCGCCAGCTCTGGCTGGCGATGGCCTTCGGCCAATCGCCAGCCAGAGCCGTTTTTTGCCCGATTTCGCCAGCATTTGGCGATTTCGCCAGCTTTCAGAAACACTGTTTAGCTAGCTGCCAGCACCACGTCAGAACTATTAGGCTTCTACATATGAGCAGGCTGGACCAGCATCCCCATCGATCTCAGCGAGACTCGCCATGCCTCTGGACGCACGGTCCCCCTCTAGCCACCTTGCTGCCTTGCAACTGTCAGACTCCGCCTGCGGCAGGGGCTCGCGGAGCAAGGCATCGCCTTCCCAGCACCTCCAGCTCGTCAACAGGTTAGTGATCAGCATCGCCAACACCAGAAACGGGTAGCGTGCGGCATGTGCGCGGCATGGCATGCACACTGCCGCCGACTCGGCGCCGCTTCCAACCGCCAGTGGCTTCCTCGCCTGGTGGGGCCTGCGGCTCCCTCTCGCCCCAAGCCTGCAGTTGCCTTCCAGCAGCCCAGCAATCAAACAGATTCCTGATCCGCCAACACTCCCCGCCAACCGCAGGCGCCTGTCACACCTGCTGTCCTCGGCCCGCCGGCGACGCCGCGGCAACCCGGCCGCAGCGGCTCCCTCTGCCCATGCTGCCTGCAGCGACATTGGCTGCCTGTCAGATGAGGCGCTGGTCCTTATCTTTGGCTCGCTAGGGCTACAGGAGAGGTGAGCCACCGGGAGCTGGCGCCTGCGCCAGCCGCAGCCGCCTCGCATGTACTCGATGCAGAGCAAACCATGCTTGCAACCACTAATTTGGATGCATGCAAGTGCGAGCCTCGCGTCGTGTCTGCTACCCTGCCCTCTGCAGGCACGCGGCGGCGGCGCTGGTGTGCCGGCGGTGGAACCGCCTGCTAGGCAGCCCAGCGCTGCTGCGCTCCGCAGCCCTGCGGCTCGCGCCCGGACCCACACAGCCTACCCGCGAGGCGGCGGCCCGCTTCCTGCCACGCCTCCGCGCCTTTGCGGCCTGGCTGGGCGCGCGAGCGGCGCCGCACCTGGTCTGCCTGCACCTGCAGCTCTGCATCCCGCAAGGAGCCCCCACCGGCCGCCTGCGCCGCGCCTTCGCGGAGCTGAAAGCGGCGCTGGCAGAGCGCTGCTGCGGCCTGGCAGAGCTGCGCTTTGAGGTGGACCGTGGGGCCAAGCTCAGCGGCTGGGTGGCGGCGCTGGCAGGGCTGCGCACCCTGCACGTGCGCGCCGGCAGCAAGCTGCAGCTGGTGGCGCAGCTGCAAGGGCTGACCTCGCTGCGTGAGCTGCATCTGGAGGGCTGCCCCCTGCGGATCAGGCCCGAAGCGGAGCTGCCGGCCGGCGTGACCGCACTGGCGCTTGCCGGCGATGCACGCAGCTCCGCGCTGCCGCAGCAGGCAAGGCCGCAGGCCCGCATGCCTTCCTGTGGCCGCCCGCAGCTGGCTGCGTAGCACTGCTGCCGGCCGTCGCTTCCCGTGGGCAGCGGTCTGGTTGCCTGCGCGGCTGGCTGAGCGCATGCCGCTGTTGTGCCGGCCGTGCGGCCGTACCTCTGAGGCTGATTGTGCTGTCCGCCCTCCCGTGTCCCCGCTCCAGCTGGCGTCGATGAGCAGCCTGGCCAGCCTGGCGTTGAGCGGCGGCAGCTATGTCAGCAGCGGCTACACGCTGCTGTCCCGCTTTGGCAGCAGCCTGCGGGAGCTGTCGCTGGCGGGCCGCCAGCAGCTGCCCCACCCGGGCACCCTGGCGCACCTCACTGCCCTCAGGGCGCTGTCGGTGCAGCAGCCGGGGCTGCCCGGCGGCGGCGGCCCCGAGGACGACGTCTGGCTGCCAGCGGCGCTGGCGGCGCTGCCGCGCCTCACCTCGCTGCAGCTTCTGGGCGCCTGCTCGGGGCGCCTGCTCGCGTTCCCAGCCGAGCTGGCGGGCCTCACCCGGCTGCAGGCGCTCGACTGGCGCTGGCCCGCCCCGGCAGACCCGGCTCTGCCCGCGGGGCCCTGGCTGGCGCGCCTGCTGCGCCTGGCGCTGCCCGCCAGCGTGGCCGCAGCCAGCCTGCCCGTGCTGTCCGCTGCCTGGCAGCTGGAGGCACTGGCAGCGAACCGCTACGACCGCTGCGGCAGCCCCGCGGAGCAGCTGAGCCTGGTGGGCTGGGCGGCGCGGCACCCGGCCCTGCAGCGGCTGCACCTGCAGGCTGCGGCGGCCCCGCAGCTGGCGGAGGATGTGGGGCTGGCCGAGGCGCTGAAAGAGGCAGCGCAGCTTGCCCCCGCGCTGCACATCGCCTGCGAGTTTGGCGGCGGCAGCGCAGGCAGCGCAGGCTGTGCATAGCCGCGGTTCATTGCTGTCGCGGCTGCCTCCGAGCGAGGCAGCTGCATTGAGCTGCTTCGTTGAGCTGCTGCAACAGCTTGACGCTCCTGTAAGCTAGGCTGGGCTCAGGCCCGGCTGCGCTGGAGCAATGGGTCCAGGTCAAAATGCGCAACTGGAAGAGACTCGCGAGGGGCGACGCGCGCAGGTGGCAAAACTGAGGATGAGGCGGCACAGAAGGGGGGGCGAGATGACACAATCATCTGAAAAACTAAGCTTTCAGGCAACAGGAGGGGAGAGCGGGAGCCCCGCGTCCTTGAGAGCACAGCGCAGGCAGCTGGCATTTCTATCAGGCGTGGCGTGCATGTTGATGAGTGTGACAGTGGCAGGTGGAGGAAAGCGCAAGAGAACCAGGAAGGCCGCCAGCCCTCTGCCTGGGCAATGCCAGCCATGCAGCGCCTCGCGCCTCAGATGCCCGCCCCATCACGGTAGTCCGCCTCTGGCAGCCGCCCGCGCCGCCGCTGCTGCTGCTGCCACCGCGCGCGCGCGACGTGCGGGCCGCCCAGCCCCGGCTCGCTTTCCTCCTCCTCCGCCTTGGGCGCGTAGCCGCCACCGGCCGCCCGCTGAATGTCTGGGTCTGCCACGCCCAGCACCTCGCGAGACAGCGCCGCCAGGTCGCCGCCCGCCAGCTGCGCACAACACAGCACAGCACGCGCAGCGTGCGCAGCAGGCAGGCGTGGGTGAGGAGGCCGGGTAAGGACAAGACGCGAGCACTTGGGAACAGCTGCGCCCCAGACCACCGCGCCCCTGCCATCAGGCCAGCGCAGTCCTGGCCACCCCCAAACCTGCCATACCCACATGCGGCAGCCAGCACAGCAGCGCACACAGCCGATGCCCCCACAAAGCCGCCCACACCCGTGCCACGCCTCGCATCAAACCCGTCTAGCCCACAAACACAGCCGGCGGCCCAAGTACGCCCACAAATGGCCCCCAACCCCCACCTACGCCCACACATGGCCCCCAGCTCCCACCTGCGCCACATAGTGCCAGTAGTCATCCACCGCGCTGGTGGGCTCCGCCCAGCGCAGCACCGCGTGCTTGGAGGCCGAGACGGGCAGCCACACGCCGCGGGCACACTCCGACTCAAGCTGCCCGGGCCCCCAGCCTGCGTGCGTGCACAGGCCGTGCACAGGGTGGGGTGGGCGGTCAAGTGGCGTGGCGGCTGCCTCCAAGGAGCTGGAGGAGCAGCAGCAGCTGCGGGAGGGGGTGGCCAGGCTGAGGGCGCAGGGTAGCAGGCAGGCTCACACGCGTATCTCGCGTACCACAACCCGCGAGCCAGCTTGGAAGCCAACCCCGGGAACCCCACCCAGCCAGCCCCGCCCAGCCTAGCCTGAGCCTGCTCACCCGCGTATCTCGTCAGTACCTTGAACTGGCTCGCCTCGTACCGCCCCTCTGCGATGCCTCGCTTGGCCGCCTCAAACCCGCCCAGCTGCAGGCGCACGCGGCACGGCACGGCAGCGGCCGTCGGCTAGTTGTCGAGGCTTGCCACCCAGCGCTCGGGGGCGCAGCACACGGCACCGCCGGCTGGCTGCAGCCGCAGCACACCGCCAGCTGGACACAGTCAACACAGTCACCCAAGTGGCCGCTGCCGCCGAGCAACCCGCCCCGTGAAGCCTCACCCAGACTCCCGAGAACACCTCGCTGCTGGCGGCCAGGTCGGGCACGCCGTGCAGCAGGTGCACTGTGTCGGGGCCCACGTCACCGCCCAGGTACAGCTGCGCCTTATCGAATTCAGGAGTGAGGAAGCCGGCCCCGGCGCCGAAGCGGGACACCAGATACTCTGTTGGCCTGCGGGGAGGAGGGAGCGGGGAGCAGCGGGTGGCTGGGAGGGTGTGGAGGGGGAGGGATGCGGTGGGGAGGTGCGAGGTGGCGCGGCAGGCAGGAAGGGGAGCGCAGGCTGGGGCACGCAACACGCGGCGGCGTGCTCCCCTCTGCATCCAGGGGGGCAACTGCCGGCCCAGGCCCAGCCCACACGCCCACGCCCCCCACCAGCCCGCTAACCTGTTGAGGATGAGCCCCGCGCTGCCGCGGCTGTCGTGCGCCCACACCAGGACCACACTCATGTGGAAGTAGGTCTGGCTGGCCCCAAACATCAGCGGGTTGGCCAGCAGCAGGCAGCCGTGCTCGGGCTGCGGCAGCGAGTGGGCCCACGCGGCGTCGGCGGGCGTGGCGGCGCCGGCGGCCGGCGCCGCCGCGGCAGCGCCGCTGGACGAAGCCACGAGCTGCGCTCGGAACTTGCGCCTGCACCGCATCATGCCGCCGGGCAGGCACGGCAAGCGCGCAAGCGAGGCTGAGGGGCGGCGGGGTGCTGGGGGGCAGGGGAGACGAACAGCCGGCCCTGTGCCTGAACTATCGGCATCAGGCAGGAGAGCAGGAGCGCAGCTGTATGCCGGCCACCTCAGCATGCATGCAGTGGGTCGATACTCCACCCCCCAGCTCCAACCCACCAATCGCTGTCCAGGCCCGCGACTGGCAGCGTGTCGGGGACGTGGCTGGCGGCGTCGTCGTCGCCGCTGGCGGCAGCGCGGCACCCTAGGCCCTGGCGCCTGCTGCGGCCGCGCACCTGCAGCGCGACAGAGCAAGCACACAAGCCGTCGGGTTGCTGGGCGAAGTGTGGAGGGTGGTAGGGAGTGCAGGGGGCGTGACTCTAGAGCGTCACAAAAAGTTCAAGCCAGTCAGGCTCCGTGCCCAGCCAGCCGCACCGCGGATGCCCTCACACAGTGTGGACAGGCGGGCAGCTGTGGAGGTCTGGTAGCGACAGCTGCAGCATGGTTTGGGCAGTGAGCGGCTAGCCTCATGCCTCAAGGCCCAGGGATCAGATGAGGCGCTGGGCAGTCACTGGTGGGGTCGGGAACGGCCGGGTGGGTCGAAATGCAGCACAACATGGCAACATCCTAGCTGGCAGCCACATGGCCAGTGTTCGAAGCTTCAAGGCCCTGGAGTTTCCTGATCGCGCCCAATTGCGGAGTATTGGCATTTGAGATGTCGGCGTCGCTCACCTGCCACCGCCTTGCTGTTCAGCATGGCCAAGGCCGTGCGGTGGCCGGCTGGCTTCTTCCCCGGATCTGGCGTGCAGGTGGGTGTCTGGTGGATTCGTTGCAGGCGTGCTGATGCGCTTGGCCGAAGGCGGCCTCGCCTCCCGCGACGTTGCACCTCCCCAGCCTCCCCGCGACCCCCGCCCCTGCCGCAGCAGCCCCAGTGCAGCGCGTCGGCCCGCCCAGCAGGGCCCTGGGCCGCCCGGTGCACGCGGCTGCCGCCGCTGCCGGTGCCGCCGACGCTGGCGCCAATGGTGGCGGCGCCACCTCCTCCGCCTCCAGCAGCAAGGCCCCGCCCGCGGGCTTTGCCAGCCTGGAGCTCATGATTGCCAACCAGCTGGGCGGCGGCCCCGGCGGCGACTGGAAGGAAGTGGAGCAGTGCTTTGTGCTGTCTCCACCGGATGGCGCCTCGCCCCGCTGCCTGGTGCACTTCATCGGCGGCAGCTTTGTGGGCGCGGCGCCGCAGCTGGCCTACAGGCCGCTGCTGGAGGGGCTGGCCGCACGAGGAGCGCTGGTGAGGAGGGTGGCAGTGGGTGGTCACAATGGGAGCTCTGCATGCGTGCGAAGGCGCCTCTTCGCCTGCTTTGGTCCCTTCCCTGCTGCCGCCGCCTGTCTGCCTGCCCTCTTACTGAATACCTGCCCTCTTAGTGAAGCGCGGCACTTGGCCAGTGCCTTGCGGCAAAGCCGGGCCCCGCTTGCAGCCAGCTTCCCTCCCCGCCAAGCCAGCCAGCAGCCCTCGCCCGCCTCGAGCGTCACCCCACCCCACCCCGCCTCGCCGCCGCCCGCGCTGCCGCCGTGCGCAGGTGGTGGCTGTGCCCTATGCCACCAGCTTTGACCACCTGCGTGTGGCGGATGAGGTCCACTTCAAGTTCGAGCGATGCCTGAAGGCGCTGGGCCCGCAGGTGCGGCGCCTCCCGGCGGGCGGCCGAGGCTACCAGCAGCGCTAAGCCTTACGCTGGGCCGGCGCAGGCAGGCCGGCGCGGGGATGGAGCAGGCAGGCAGGCCGGCGCGGGCTGCGCGGGCGCCCCGTGCATCCAGCGCGCCAGGTTGCCGCGCCTCGTGGCCGAAACCGAACGGATGCACCTCCCCTGCTCGCCCGCAGGCCATCGTGCTGCCCCG